GAGTCTAGCAGAGGAAGCTCGTCGTGACTGGATGCGACTCCTCCGTCGTCGATTTGCGGTAGGGGAACGGACGCGGGGGAGAAGAGAAGAGGGAGGAGAAGAGATGGTTGTGAATTTGAAGAAGATCGAAGAATAGACCTAGCTAGTTGCCAAATTGGGGGCGCACATATTAGGTATCCATGACAAAAAATGTCTCGACCTCTTTTTGACCCGAGACCCGACCCAAAAATACTGGGTTTTGAACAAAGGTTTTGCTGACCGAACCCGAAATTGACCGAACCTGAAATGACCCGCTAAAATTGGGTCAAACCCGACCGAACCCGAACCCGACCTGACCGACCCGCTAATATAAGATTTTTTCAGAATCGTACATTTTAATACCCGAGTATGAAATATAGTGTTATAAAAATAAGATTATAATTATATTTCTTTGCTTATTACTCATTTTTTGTGTATAGATTTATATCATCATAACAAATTTTAATGATGTCGCATAATTATCGTACATTTTTTCAAATTTTCTACATCTATAATTTTTTTATTTGTAATATTGACAGTAAGTCATAAAAATTACTTAAAATTTCAAAAAAATAAATGAAACTCATAACCCGTTGGGTCAACCCGAACCCGATGAGACTGGGTCATGAACATGTAGTTATCAACCCGAACCCGAAATAACCCGAACCCAAGGTGACCGAACCCGAACCCAACCTGACCGACCGATTTGCCAGGTCTAATATTAGGCGACATATTAGGCTAGCAATGAAAAATTGGGAGGGATTCTAAAATTTGAGATGAACTTGAAAATTTTTAAAATTAACAATTTGATTTTTGAAACAAAAATTTTTTTTGGTCCATGCATTTACTTACTCTTATGTACCACTTTCAATTAGGGGTACGCAAAAATATCGGTTCGGTAATGTTTCAAACTGAAACGATAATGTCATGTACCGAATCGAAAAGTGAGTTTTCAAATGGTTCTAACAAATTATATCCTGAATCAAACTGAATTATTTTCATGATAGTACAAGACGGGTTGTTGGAATGCATGAGTTCAACCCTTTCTGAGTTGTTAAGTGTTGACTCACAGGTTTTGATAATTGACAAAAACAATTTTTTCAAGTCAAGATCAAAGTGCTACATCGACAAACACGAAGACTTGAAGTGCAAATTTCTTAAAGTATTCAAGAAGGTGCACAGGATTTTATTGGAGTCCGAGACGCGTTAGGAGCGCCTAACGCAGGACTCGGAGGAGTAGAAAATTTCCGAAGACATTTTATTTATTTGAGCCTTAGGAATTATTGTAAGGATGACATAAATAACTTCTCTCCAAAATTACATTTATGAGAGTTAAAATAAAAATTATATTTGTTTTTAGAGTCAGTTGAAAAATCCTTTTAACTGTTCAAAATACATTTATTAAGTCAGTTACAAAAAAGTGTGTCAAACATTTATCAAAATATTTATTTGCTATTAGAAAATGTTTTTGGAAAGCAAAAATATTTTATTCAAATATTTTCGTGTTCATCGTTTGACACACAAAATATTTTTGGGACTCACTTTTTACTCCCTTATTCAAATTCATTGAATAAGAGGAGGAATCTTCTATGATTCCCGTTGTCTCAAACAACGAGTGTTGCGCCAATTCACTCCTCATCGCAACTGGCCTTGGGCCCTTTGTGTTTTGCGCATTATTTTCTTATTAATCGATTAACAGTATCTATTTAATCGATTAGATCCAGCTCCTCAGCGCTGGATTTCTCTGGGAATGAAATTAATCGATTATCATTCTTCATTTAATCGATTTCTTTGGACAGAGTCTTCTAATTTGCATTAATCGATTATTTCCGCGCAGAAGGAATTTTGCTCAGACTGCATTAATCGATTACTGACAATGCATTAATCGATTTTTATGCTGCATCTTTTCTGCACAGCTTCTTTTCTTGGACCAACGGATATATTTATTTACCTCCTATTTAAGCACCCTCAACAACTCTATTCACCCCCCTCTAGAGTTGCACGCCTTGTCTAACAATTGGTTTCAGAGCGGGTATCTCTAACGCTCTTTGTGACGTTTGAGAAAACGATCTAATTTTTTTTAGAATGTTGAACGCAGGGATTGGAGAAGGGCAATCCACCGTAAGGCCGCCATTTTTTGATGGAACAAATTACTCCTATTGGAAGGAGCGAATGAGGATTTTTGTTCAATCAAATGACTTCAAAATTTGGCTTGTTATCAAGAATGAAGATAGCTTGCCGATGAAGAAGATAGGCGATACACTCATCCCGAAGGATGAGGATGAATATGATGAAGCCGACTTTAAGAAGGCTCAATTAAATGCCACCGCCATCAACTTCTTGTATTGTGTTGTCAACGCCAACGATTATCAAAAGATATCTCGTTGCCAAACCGCCAACCAAATGTGGAACAAGCTCATGATCACATACGAAGGTACGCCTAAAGTTCATGAATCAAAAATTGATTTACTAACCCATGAATATGAGTTATTTGCTATGAAAGAGAACGAACTTGTGGAGAACATGTTTGGGAGATTTTCAAACATCGTCAACGACCTTGATATGCTTGGAAAGACACTCACCAACAAGGAGTTAGTGAGGAAAATCCTGCGAAGTCTTACCAAGGAATGGGAGTCAAAGGTAAACTCCATATATGAAGGCCGAGATTACAACATCATCACATACGACGGTCTTCGAGGTAACCTTATCACTTATGAAACAAATCATCTTTCTCATACTCTTGATGTTAAGAAGAGAACGGGAATTGCTTTTAAAGCATCTTCTTCTCAAAAAGTAGAGATTGGTGATTTGGATTCGGATAGTGATAGTGATAGTAATTCTAGCACTTCTTGTGATATTTTGGTTGAATGTTTTAACGAGTTTTTGAAACATGAGCTAAACAAGAGCAAGAAGAAAAACACCCCACAATGTCATAAGTGCGGAAAGCTTGGCCACCAAAAATTTGAGTGCCCGAAGCTCAAGAAAATAAGCAAACAAGATGAATTTGCGTATTTTTCGTGGAGTTATGATCAACCTTCCAAAGACGATTGCCTCATCGGTCTTGAAGAACAAGATGGGTGGTCGGGCACGTGACGCACTTGAAAGGCGTGCTTGAAGACTACAAATTTGTAGTGGATGCTCCAAGCACTTAGCCAAAGAGATTGCATCAAAGGGGAGTGATTACATTTTTTTAAATTAAATGTTATCTTTGATATTTATTTGTGATAATTGTTATTTGGGGAATATATATAAGATGTTTTGCATATAGTAAGGGGGAATTTATTGCTATATGTGTTAATCTTTTTGTATGTTTTTTTAAGGGGTAGATAGCATACTTTAAGGGGGAAGTATTTTATTTCCTAGAAATGCATGATTTTAGTGGGAATGTGATTTTTTCTTAATTGTTTAGAAATTTTTCTCTCTCCCCAGAATGCATGAGTTCTTTTGTTGTATTATTTTTGATAATGCCAAGAGGGGGAAGAGTATAGGAGTATATGCTTTAATTTGTTATTTGTTGGTAGCATATCCTCCATGTGTTTGTCATTATCAAAAAGGGGGAAATTGTTGGAATGCATGAGTTCAACCCTTTCTATGTTGTTAAGTGTTGACTCACAGGTTTTGATAATTGACAAACACAATTTTTTCAAGTCAAGATCAAAGTGCTACATCGACAAACACGAAGACTTGAAGTGCAAATTTCTTAAAGTATTCAAGAAGGTGCACAGGATTTTATTGGAGTCCGAGACGCGTTCGGAGCGCCTAACGGAGGCCTCGGAGGAGTAGAAAATTTCCCAAGACATTTTATTTATTTGAGTCTTAGGAATTATTGTAAGGATGACATAAATAACTTCTCTCCAAAATTACATTTATGAGAGTTAAAATAAAAATTATATTTGTTTTTAGAGTCAGTTGAAAATTCCTTTTAACTGTTCAAAATACATTTATTAAGTCAGTTACAAAAAAGTGTGTCAAACATTTATCAAAATATTTATTTGGTATTAGAAAATATTTTTGGAAAGCAAAAATATTTTATTCAAATATTTTCGTGTTCATCGTTTGACACACAAAATATTTTTGGGACTCATTTTTTACTCCCTTATTCAAATTCATTGAATAAGAGGATGAATCTTCTCTGATTCCCGTTGTCTCAAACAACGAGTGTTGCGCCAATTCACACCTCATCGAAACTGGCCTTGGGCCCTTTGTGTTTTGCGCATCATTTTCTTATTAATCGATTAACAGTATCTATTTAATCGATTAGATCCAGCTCCTCAGCGCTGGATTTCTCTGGGAATGAAATTAATCGATTATCATTCTTCATTTAATCGATTTCTTTGGACAGAGTCTTCTAATCGATTAACCCCTTTGCATTAATCGATTATTTCCGCGCAGAAGGAATTTTGCTCAGACTGCATTAATCGATTACTGACAATGCATTAATCGATTTTTATGCTGCATCTTTTCTGCACAGCTTCTTTTCTTGGACCAACGGATATATTTCTTAACCTCCTATTTAAGCACCCTTCCTTGGTCATTTTTCTAAACAAGAAACACTCAAATACTCCTCATTCTTGAGGTGTTAATCCTCCATCAATCCTTCCTCAAATTTATATTATTTTGAGAGAAAATATTTGTTTTTAAGAGAGATTTCTTGTCATCCATTAGAGCTTTAATCATTTCTCTTATCTACTCTTTTGAGAGCTATTGTTGAGAGGTTGAAGAAGATTGTTCTTCTTGTTGTTTAAGGCTTATGTGATTTAAGTCTTGGTTGTGAATTCTTGTAGAGGGCATATCTATAAGCGGTTGTGTCGAGGCTTGTGGGATTCAAGTTCTCGAGTTGTAAACGGTTTGTTAAGCACCCGTAAGCTTAACGGAAGTAGTGGTAGCTTCGAGAGAGTCTCTCGGGGAACTGGACTAGCCACGAGGTGGTGAACCAGTATACATCGGTGTGTTTTTTGCCGTCTCTTTTTATTTCCACTGCACTTACGTTTATATTATTAATCCTGCGAAAATCGGTAAACATTCTCAACAACTCTATTCACCCCCCTCTAGAGTTGCACGCCTTGTCTAACACGGGTTTCCAAAAAATAAATAGATCTGTTTTGTCCGATTTGATCTGATTAGGTTTGATCCGATGCATTTAAAGATTAGATCAGGTAAACATGTTAGAAATATTACACAAGATAACAGTTATGTGATGCTATTTTTGTTTAGTAGTCTTCTAAGCAGCTGTCTAATATATCGTTCAACTACTTTTGAAATTAGATGTCTATATTGTTGAACGACAACACCACGCAATATGAGTCTGAAGTCAAAAACAACAGTTATATTCATTATAGATAGACAACAAAACATCACAGTTGTCTTTAACTCTAGAAAATAGTTGTCTTACTCATACAAGGACAACTTCAAAAACATGTACTCTGAAACATCACAAAATAGGTGTCGTCAACCGTATTACACAATTGTTTTTAAACAGTAGTCGTAAATATATCAGACAGCTACTCGGAAGACTACTGAAACTAGCACAGTTAGACTACTAAAAAGAACAGTTGTCAACATCTGTTTTTGACGTAGTGATCATTATCACTTATATTGATTTTTTCTGTTTTTTATGAAATAATATAAGGGTTAAGATCACTACTGCTACGTGCCACCTAATCACACCCTCATTTTATCTGAGGGGGGATCCTTAAGGGACAAATTGGAAGAATGTTGGGCCAGAGACGCGAGATTTTTATTGGCGAGAGTTCCAGGCATAGTTTTCATACGTATTTACACTTATAACTTTTCAATCTTCTATATTACAAGTAAGTATAACTACATAAACTTTGGTTTCTTTGAATATAGAAACACTGCTACTGGGATCGTCACATTCCTTGTGATATGGTTAGGAATGCTTTTATGCGTCGGGCGGGGAGATTGTATAGTGACTTTACGTTTAATTAACGTAATGCGAGAGTGGTTCACAAGAAGCCCCCTGCTGAGCTTATTGGTCGTTGTGACAAGGTGATTTAGTTTTGAATTTATTACAATTTTTCTATACATATAAGTTATATTCTTAATATTCATATTATTATAGCATTGAGTATGTAAAACATACAGGTTATATGCATCTATATGTATAACTTCTTCTAATAATCATCATCTTATACGTATGTATAGTTTTGGAATTTCAAAGAATTTAAGCAAGAATTTGAAGTGAAGAAAAAGAATAGAAGAAAGGGAAGGAATGAAGGCGTACACTACAAAAAACTGCTGAAATGGCGACGGAATTATTCCGTCGCCAAACCCTTATTTCCGTAGGTAATCTCCATAACGACGGAAATAACGACTGAATATTTTCCGTCGTTAATTTTTCGTTAGTAGTAAATGTAACGACGGATTTTTGATTCCCTCGCTAGTCTACGACGGAATTGGCGACGGAATTAAGCGACGGAACTCACGACGGAAACTTTCCGTCGCTAATCCTGACGACGGAATATTCATTTTGACCATATAGCGATGGAAATGAAATTCCGTCGCCAATTCCGTCGCCAATTTGATAGGTTGTACCAGGAAGCTGCTGTTTTTTCAATTTTGCACACATCCATAGCAAAGCTCAGAAATCCCAGCATCAAACAACAACAATTACTGGAAATGAAGATTACCAAACAACCAAGAATATTCAAGTCACCAATGTACAACTAAATTTCAAATAATATTTATAAAAATTCAACATAACAATCAAATCTAACTCCACTTACATAACCATAAAACTTAAGTTTAATATATTGTTCTTCAATTCTAATATAACACTCAACAAGCTCCTGCAAATCCCGCCCCTCCTCCATCTCCACCGCCATCTCCATTTCCATGTGCGAAAACTCCTCCATAAAGTCGGGTCATCTCTTCTCTAATCGACAATAATTCACGAGCTTGGGAAGCCCTAATTTCATCTAGCTCTTCTCTCAACCTCCGAATCTCATCATCTCGAGGGTCCCACATAGAGCTGGTGCTAGCACGTCTTGCCTCACTTGCATGCATTCGTGGTAGGCTCCGTGCGAGATCTCCAACACCATGAACACGATTCTTGGCATCATGTCCTCCGAATGTAGATAGAAAAATCTCGTCAGGTGTCACATTTAAGCCCTCTTCACGAACTGCCTCCTGCATGGCTACGTAGTTTTGCTGCAATACACAAAACATACATGTATATATACTTTGTAACATAAAAAGCAAAATAAAATGAGCAGTATGAATTCACATTCAATTGAATCCAACGAAAACTAATCATTTATATATACATTATATATATTCATTGTCACTTATTGATACTTCTTCTGTCTTCTTATTGACGTAGGTCTTCCCATCATGTTTCTTCGTATGTGTGTGTGTGCGTACGAAGAGTACAAGTCAGAAGCCTTTCCACTTTTACCCTAAAAAAATAAAATATATAAATAAGTGAAAATACGTCACTTAGAACATTTAAATGTAATTTTTGTTACTAACAATACTTACAAGGCGCGCTTGAGTCTCGCGAAAAGACAATGGACCACCGGTGTGCGTGGCGCTAGCAGGGGCATTCTCGTCACCGCCACGCCGATTTTTCTTGTTTTGCTTGGAGGATGCCAAGAACTTTGGTGACTTCCAATACTGTTTAACAACATATAAATACAAGAATACAAATATATA